GCAGCTGTATGTGGTTAGGGCAGCGGAAACCGTGTTGTTGCGCGTATCTTCGCACTATTTCAAGTGTCTCTTAAGAAGAAAAAGGATTGGACGATATGCTTTAGGTGTGGAGTAATCACCTTTTCCAGGTTTGGGGATAAAAACAATTTTTATCTCCCTCCATTGTTTAGGTATGTATCTGAAAGCGATACAGCCTGTATATATTCCCACTAGGTAGGTAGCAATAACATCCAGTTCCCATTGCAGGAGAGCCGGTATTATGCCGTCCAAACCGGGTGACTTGTATGCTGAGAACGATTTCACCGCCCAGGTCACCCTCGCCACGTCCACCACCACCACCACTTAACTGGTAGGTAGGGATTGTTTGGACTAGCTCGAACCAACACTGGAGCGATTGTCAGTTTCTCCTTTAATGTCTCGAATGCGTGTTCTGCTTCACAAAACCTAAAAATGGAGTTTTTATTAAGTAAGTTAGTAAGCTGACTTTTGATAAACTTCCTATACCAGGAGCATGTTTGCACAAAACTCTGAACCTGTTTTTTATAACACGGACACCACAAGTTCTGAACGGCGGATACCTTTTCAGGATCCACGGGGTAGATGCTTTATGGACTACCGATTTAACAGGCACTTTTCTTTCCGCGTGTGTAGGATGAACACTTGCAGTCTGACGAACACTGCACGAAAAATCGTCTAAGTGTTGTTGTTCCAGTGTTTCCGAAACCCCAAGAATATCGTCCAAGTATACGAATATTCCGCGATCGCTCAAACCCGCACGAAACCGGTCCATCAGAGGCACAAACGTCGTGGGGACATTCCGTAGTCCGAAAGGCATCCTCGAAAATCGGAAACATTCGTAGGGTGTAGGGAAACACGTTTTATCTCGGTCCTCGTTGGCAACCGGTCCCTTCCAATACCTTTACTGTAAGTCAATTGTGTTGTGGATATGTATGAGATGCAGTTAGAAAATTGTAGTAGTTCGTCCAAACGTGGTATGGGATATGTGTCGGCAATCGTGACAGCGTTTAAGCTACCGTAGTCGACACATACGGGAAGTTCCACCCTTCTTTGGGACCAACACGACTGGGCTGGCACTCTTACATAACACAATAGGACAATAGATCGTCTAGTTGCTTGCATAGGAATTCTTTCTTGGCTACACTTAGAGAATACGGTGACATGGAAATGGGTGAGTGGTCGTTGGTGACGATGGGATGCACCGCGTACTCCCTCGGTTCTCCCCCTTCTCAAAAGACCTCTTAGTGTTCCCTTAGCAAAGATTCAATAGATTGTCTTTGACTAGACTCAAAATTTGGACAATTTTCTGGTTGAATACTCACTTCAGATACCTAAGTGTCCTTGAATACCCCTTCCTCGCCGAAGTACTGAAAGGTGACACTCGGATCATCATATTCTGAGCTACGTTTAGCACGATTCCAGCATCTTTTAGGTAATCGCCGCCAAAAAGAGTTTTCTGGTTCTTCAGATCTGGTTAAATCATAAATGTTGTGGGTATGCACCGATTCTAAAGGTGAACATCGACCTTGGTGGTCAAAAACTCTTCTTATTTTATGATTCCATCTGCATATCCCAATCGAGCGGAAACATTCTTAAATTCCGAGGTTGCGACGCCATCAAGATCTGCAATGCTGACTTCCATAAGCGTTCGTCTACGGGGGTCGATCACAATGCCCTATGTAGAGACGCCACAGAAGTTGATGGTCTTGGCTCCAGCTTCGTTTTTCGATGCAGATTAAGATTTGCACGTGCCACATTTAGCACGGATTACCCCTGGTGTGCCACATCCATAGCACACTGTTTTGGGTTTGGCAGCTACTGGGGAATGTTTGTTGCTCCTTGCTCTTAAGTTTCATGCTCTCTTCTTTTAGGTGACCCAAAGCTTTACAAAATGCGCAACGTGGAAGCTCTTTTTTTCCGAACACGTTTTGTCTTACCGTGGGCGAGACTGTTATACTTATCGCGCACGACCCCGGTTTTTTCCTCACTTTCCTGTTCATTAAACCGTCGATTTGTACAGTCAACGGTAGTTTGTAGGACAAATCTGACAACAACTCGCGAAAATACGAAAACTTCTGTTGTTTCGTTGGCGCTCTGTTTGCGGTTGAATATTTCGTGAAAGGTCTTATACGGCGGTAGCTTGTTTGTAAATGCCTTTTTAAGAGCAATTACCGCATCGTTCCCTCTAACAACAATCATACAACAATCACCCACGGAGCGCATTTTCGTCCGAAACGTTGAAAATGTCTTTATATGTTAGGACACTGTCAAAAAAACACGTCTACATTTGGATACATTTTGATAAGGTGACGCTTACGGGAGTAGGTGCGCCGGAAGTACGAGTGTTATCATTATCATACTGATCAGTCGCTTCGTCGCCCTAGGATGGTATGATTGCTGAACTCGCACTTGAAGAGTAGCAGAAAAACAATTGCAACTCTTACCCGCAACAGATTTCTCGTCAATCCGACTAAGCATAATGCACCTTCCGTGAAATGGAATGCTGATGAGATGACGCTTTACTTCGGGGGCGTACGTTCAGGGGCCAGTGTAACAGCTAGTAGTGGGTTACTGTAATAATTCCCCGGTTATATCACCAGTAGAAAACCAACTTTATTACACACAGAAGAATAACACAAAATACGAACATTAGCCCAATCATTTACCGAACATAAAATACAGAAAAACAAATGACGCGTGCATGATTATTCATCCCCATCATCTAGATATCGGCGCGGTGGTTAAACGACACGCCTCCTGTAACAGTTTTAAAATAATATTAACATTTCTGTCCATATTTCAATTTCCACCTGTATATTTTCTAAATTTTCTCGTCATTGCATGCGACCAATTTCTAGTTATTTTTGCATTTCTGTGTTTGCCTCTCCGATTTAACTTGTCTTCTTGTCGTTATAGGACATTTAAGGCGGATTTTAAGTTCCGTAACCGTAAGAACGGAACCGTAAAATCTTACGTTAACGAAAATTATACGATTTATAGTTACCGTAGTGTTAAGAGATGAGCTTGCGCATTAGTGCGAAACGAATTCTGCCATTGTATGTCATCTGTCAGTAAGAGTAACGTGCATTTCGAAATAATAATAACCAACAAAGTGTCAATAATTATTGTAATAGGGTTACAATTTTTTCCGAAATGGACTTTTAATACGGAAAACTCAAGCATTCCAAATCGTAAGTGCTTTCTTGTGCACGAATTGAGTTTACCGATGTTCTTTTTTTTATTTAATTTATATATATTTAATTTCTATTAACTACACTTGTTGCTTAGCGGTACGAGGTGTCACATAACTTCAGGGGTTGTTGGTGCGTTAATTTTTGTGTTAATAGTTTATGGGAAGATTTCATTTTTTTTAAATTTTGCATACCCTTTGGTTAATAAACAATAATTTTTCTTGTGGGTCAATTGTTGACTCTTTTTATACTGAAGCTACCTTTCCTAATTCCGATGGCTGCAGATAAAATTGTTAGCGTAATTAGGTGGCGCCCGAAAAACTTGAATTGAAGCACCAGTAAGTATTAGTGGAGGAGATTTACTTGGAACCTTTTATAATAATTTGTGGTCAAAGTTTTTAAGTCACTTACCTACTAGCCTGAGTAAGAGCATATCTCTCTACGCTGTTAACTATTTGGCTAACAGAGCTAGCTGGCTGATCAGCGGCGTGTGTTGATTTCAAATTGCACATGGTATTTTATAGTGCCCTGCATTCTAAGCTTGCGCGTTATACTCCCTTCTTCTCGGACTCCAGTGGCGGAGCTCACGTCAGCTCCACCTTTCATTTTATTTAAAAAGCACCTAGGGAACATGGCTATTGTTCAGTTAACACACTGACCTAAATACATTTTACCATCCTATTCAGCTGCTCCCCGATAATTTAATGCGTGCAGCTGAAGTTTTATTAATTAGTTATCTTAGGTTGTCATTATTACGTTGTACTCTGGTCAATCGCCTAATGCCAACTGTAAACTTGAATTTGCGATTTTGCGCATTTCTAACTTTAATTCTGAAACATTCAATACGAACGAATGTAAATATCTTAAAACTACAATCCGGAACAAACAAACTGTAAATGGAAAGACATAAGATCTGCTTTGTACCGTATACAAGCTCTAATTGGTGAATTTTGTTGGGAAAATGTATACATATTAACATCCTGGCGAACTGAAAGGCAGACAAACGGGGCATACGATCTCATACGGTATATTCAACCTTTCCCACAATTAACATTGTTTCTATGATTAAGGGATGAAACGTGGAGCTAGAGGTCTCACAAAATAAATGGCTTATAATTAATCTTATCCAAAACCGTCAAATAAAGAAGTCATATACGTTGAATTTTAGTTGTAATAATTAGGTACACATTATCCTTGATTAGTCAAATGAATAATCACAAATCCATGAAAACCTCGTCCTAAGCGCCTTGCCGCCTTCGATTTGTTTCATGTAGGCAGTCACGATCCATTTCGGAAAACTTGCTCAATGAACGGTTTTGGATAAAATCTTCTATTTGACTCGTGTGTAATTAGTTCTTTATCCACTTGATAAATTAATTTCCGAGGCCTTTTCTCATGTGGATAAAGAACCTAATGATGAGCTTTATAAATAAATAGCTATTATGCCCTTTGAATCTGAATAATACAAATATCTTATTAGACGAAGACTCCGTCTACGGTCTTTTTTAGTAAAATACGGCACGCAATATGTATATTGGAGCAATTTCGTTTTTTAAGTAAACTCAGCTTATATCGCATAAAAAATAGCACTCCCAAATTTTAGATTCTCACGGAAAACTTCTTTGTGTATAAATTAGGACGATTTCAATGAAACACGTCTGTAATAAAATGCTTCGGTAACGAATGGGAGACGACGCAAATCTCACCTAAATCTAAAATTCAGTAGCTAGATGTAGTTAAAGCAGGTTTCCGTTTAATTTGTTTTGATATATTTTCCCTCTATTGTTTCAGGATGTCGGCGGCCCACGTCTCCGGATTACTACTAATTTTAGTGATAAACTCAATTTTGCCATGGATGTGTTCATCAAGTGCCATTCCTTGTCCCACCGTTTGTTCGTGCTTCCTCGACGCGAGAGGAAGAAAAGTCGTCGCGTGTAATCAGGGCGGTTTAACCGCGATACCCTTTAAGGAGATGGAATCTCGAATCGAAGTAATCAACGTTTCTGCGCCCGAATATAACTTAAACACGCTAACGATGGATCCAACGATACAAGACTTTAAATTACTAGAAGAAATTCATATAACGCGTTCGAACATACCCGAGCTCGGCGTGCACTTATTTTGGAACCTAAAAAAGTTGAGTGTGCTAAATCTTTCGCAGAACAACATCACGCAACCCTTAGACGCGAGTTTTCGCGGTTTGGGCAACCTGAAGGAACTTTATTTGGACGATAACAGAATACATTCGTTGCCCAGTGGAACGTTCCGATATCTCTTGTCATTAAAAATCTTATCGCTACAGAGGAATCGAATCCACGAGATGATGCCGAGAATGTTTGAGGAATTGGGGAAATTGCAGGTTTTGAAATTAAGCGGAAATTATCTTAGGGAATTGAATCCCGAATCGTTTAAGGATGTTTTGAAGGTAAGTAGTTCTTTTTGTGTTGTTTTGAACACTTACGCCTTTTCGTTATAAGTTAGCCAACAGTACAGTTTTTGTAACATTCTTTCAGTATTTATATAAATAAATCTCTTTAGTATTTATCGAAGTATTTATGTCGATTCATTAGGCCCTGCTTTTCCCTGTTTCTGCAGATTTCGTTAGTATATAGATGTACCTACTCACCCCACTTGTACTCTGTACCTGAAGCCAGGACAAAAGAATACAACTTACCTATACTTATTTATGATTCTAAAAGGATCTCACACAAATTCCGGAGCCGGACATTAGGGCGCCGCCGAAAGGGCGCGGCCGTTAGGGCGCGAGACATAAGGACGCGTGGACATAAGGGCGCGAGGACAAAAGGGCGCGGGGACATAAGGGCGCAAGGACAAAAGGGCGCGGGATAGAGTATTCTCCAAAAAAAAATATTGTAGTTAGTTTGTGTTGATATGTTATATCAACAGGACGTTCAAGATACACAAATATAGGTATATAGGTAAATTTCAGCGTAATCGATTCTTTTTTAAATGTTTTCTTAAATAAATGGACGAGAAGTTAAAAAGGCATTGTGAATTTTGGATCTATCATGTTGGTTCGGCTATCCATATTGGAAACTTGTGCAATTCGATGCATAACTAGCGAAGATGTCAAAATGGCACAGTTTATTCTTTGGCCGATATTGCCAATTCTCAAACTCCTATCTACAAATTTGATAAAGAATCTATTTGTAGAATTACATGGTAATTGGTTGCGCCGTTCTTTTTTAAATGGTTGGACGTGAAAAAATCGAGCGAGCCAGCGATTTGGAACAAAGCGTAACAGTATCGTTTAAGCAACTCGACGTTACAAATATACAAGTTAAAGTGACAAAAGGTGTGATCCAATATTTTGCGCATTATATGTTTTTGGTATCTTAAACGTCCTGCATAATGACTGTTGGTATAACATATCAACACAAACTAAATACGATATATATTTTTTAGAGAATACTCTATCCCGCGCCCATATCTCCTCGCGCCCTTATGTCCCGCACCCTTATGTCCCGCGCCCTTTTGTCCTCGCGCCCTTATGTCCACGCGCCCTTATGTCTCGCGCTCTAACGGCCGCGCCCTTTCGGCGGCGCCCTAATGTCCTAGACTGCACAAATTCGGCGAATATTAACAAGTATAAATTGTGCACAACTCCTATACGTTATAAGGTAGTAGCATGCTATGTTTATCGATGTTTTCTTTCACGGTAGATATATATGTCTCGTCCAACAGTTCATTTTGCATTTGTGGGTACAGACGTCCTAATCGCCCTTGGCGAGTACCATCCTCCGACAATCTGTTCTTGAGATATAAACAATTATTTATATCCGATCACGATAAGGAGCCGCGGAGGAGGCTATGGTTGGTAGAAATTAATTCCTTTTGAGACCTTTCATCAGAGTACACCATGAAGGATAAAACCAGCCCCCCCCCCTCATCCTCACTTTTGTTAAGGAATCAGAAAGCAGGGTGGTAGTTGCTACAAAACAGTTCCTTTTGTTGAGACCTTTAATTGGAATACCATGAAAGATAAAATTGATTTCTAGTATTGAACGTGCAGGACCAATGGTGAAGACGTTTGATAAGGTCCAGAAAGACTGTCACGCCATTCTCCCTAGTATTTTCCGGGTTACTTAATTCAGGCTGTATAAAACCAGCATTGGAACTAGAAGCTGTTGCTGGAAGAGCAGTAAAGGTAGACTGTCTAACTGATGGAGGTCCACCACTGTTTGACAACATTTCGGCAACTTCCATTTCTTGGGTACAAACCCTACCGATAATCGTTTCAAAAATGCTTGAAACTTCATAAATTTTGAAATGTCAACGTTTTGTCGGATGTTTATCATCAATCGAAGCATCGAGTATGTCTTCCATAATGTAGAACTTTTGTAAGTCTTACTAAGAATTTCGAAGTATGCAAGCAAAAATTTTCTGTGAGGGTTTGTACCTTGTTTTCAATGCGCCAAGATTCAAATTTTTCATACTCCTTTTGGTACTCATTTTTAGACTTGGATGGCACCAAATCATTTACCGCATTATCAGCTAATTCACGCAATTCCGGTGGTGTTGAAGTTAGTTCTTCGTCTGACATTGTAGGCTCTTTAGTGAAATGTAGGTAATGGATTTTATTTTTCAAATCTAAAGATAATTTCGCAAAAATATCTCGTGAAGAAATTTGAAAGATCGGTTACTATGGAAACCAAGCAAATAGTCAGTACTGCCAACACAATTTATATCGAAAATATTTTTAAATTTATCCATAATTAAACAATGCGAAACGAGCCCGAAACAGAGAAAATAGTATAAAACATTCGTTGCAGAAGGCCTTCTAAGCACTCGTTCATTCGAACCCTCGCCGCTACGCGGCTCAGGTTCGAAACTTGAACTCGTGTTAGAATAGAGGGCCTTCTGCAACTTATGTTTTAATATACAGAGTGAGCAACAAAGATTGAAGCGTGCCGCTTCAGCTAAATTGGCAATGTGCCGCTCATAGCATATGCTGATTTGATACAAGATACGAAATACGAATAGACGCACGTCACCGTGACAGCGCAGAACGTCATTTTCGTATACAACTCCATACAAAGAAGGTAGTTTTGATATTAATAGGAACAAGCGGTGATGACGCACGCTTCAATCATTGTTGCTCACACTGTACTATTCTACCCTTCCCCCTCCCTTCTCCCCCCGGCCACCTATTGATCTCGGAAAAGAGTCGTGCAGGAAAGTTAGTTTGTATAAACCAATTCATTTCGGTGAGACGTTTGATTAAAATACCATGAAGGGAAAACGTGCCCCCCTCCTTATTTTCAAAAATTTTACTTGGCAGCATAAAGGCATGTGTATGCAAAGAGGCCAGTTGATTGTCGCATGTATAAAATGCAAAAAAATTTCAGGACTCTAGGACCATTCCCCCACAAGTAATTCCAAAGCCGCTGAAGTGGGTCCGGACAGACGTACAGACGGACGGACGGACAAACAAAACGCAAACAATAGTGCATTTTTAGAAGTTAAAAAATGCACTAAAGATTGACATGATTTAGTGTCGTTCAAGTAGGTAAAAAGTAATTTCCAGTTATGAACGATGTTTCGTTGTTCGTTTACTTAGCCCCCCCCCCCCCCAGAATTTATATGGTTTTAGCTTCTCTGTTTTCAAGTTCGGATTTATTGATAATAGCGTAAATTATGCATAGTTCAAAGTTCTTCAACTTATGCGCGATTTGTGTCCGGTAATGTACGCATGCAATACTTTATTTCGTGCGAACCTGGTGATTTCAGTTTTTTCCCATCTATATAGTGTTGGCCCGATTGTTTTCAAATTGGTGTCGTCGGTAAGATCTTGTCAACGCGCACAACTCCTACGTGACGGAAATTTGTCTTTTTTCTCGTGTCGCCAATAGAATCTTGAGCTATGGAAGGTTCCCCAAAAATTAAGCACGATTTACTGAAGGGTTTTTCGCGAAATGCACCAAAATACGAATTGCGGGTAAACGGGACGTCGAAAGTGGTACTACCGACTAAGGGAATGTGGTACGTGGTACCCCTGACAAAATGTCACTGACGGTGGAGTCAAAACCAGCTAATAGAATACTGATCTGCCACACAAAAATGCGCTGAAGTCTCTTCGATCTCCCACGAGGACTTCAAAATTTTTTCATCAGTGTTGCTGCGAAAGGAGCGGTCAGTCCAGGGTTCGCACTTGAAGAATTGCTCTACTCCCTTTTCCAGAAACAAGCTGATGGGTCTGTATGCTTTAGGTTTGACGGCAGAGTGGCCTGCACGTTTGGTTGTAAATAGGTTTTTGGGTATGCGAGTCAGAGGGCCCTGTATAACTTAATACAATTATGCATGATTACCGATGTAACCCATTTTCGGGTAAAGATTTTTGCCGCTGCCATTTTTGTTTACTACATAGCGTGGTCTGAGTTGCCCCTCCATCTACTCAGTTTTTCCTTTTGTAGACGCAGCGACGTAGTAGGTTTCTGAGAGGCTGGAAATTACGTGCTCAAAAGGAGCTCGATCGTCTCCTTTGCGCTCTCAATGCAATTGCCGGAGATTACCAATGCCCTTTGCATGATCTTTGATTAGGAGTTTTTGTACGCAAGCAGTTTCTGGGGTCGTACTGATGTTCCCCCAGAATTCTTTTTTATACCATGGACTTCTCATAATTCCTATCGTTTCTTCCTTTGGCCACGCTTCTGGTTATTCCTTTGATTGTACAACTGTTTTCATACGCTCCATGTATGAGTCGGTGTTATTGCTCTCATACTACCCTCCTTTTTCGAGATATCAGGAATTATAACCCCTCTTGGAGGAAGGATAGTAATTTCCAGATATGATATTGTATGGTTGAGACCGTCCATTGGAATATCATGGAGGGTAAAACCAGCCACTCCCCTAAATTCCAAAAATTTGGAATTATAACGGATATCGATAGTTAGTTGGGGGAAGATGGCGGTGGTTGTAGAAATAGATTCCTTTTCTTGATATCTTTTAATGGAATATACTAATAAGAGTAGAATCAGTGTATACCTACTCCTCACTTTGGTCTGTTCCAAAAGATCCACATGAGACCCTTGAGCAAAAATTGGACACAAACTCCAAAACAGTGTCTCACGAAATAATTCATGGGTTAGAACTTCGTGAGAAAAACATTTGAAGGGCGTACCTATTTGCAAAGCACTTTTGATTTCCCACGGTCGTCACAGAAATTCGATTCGGCACCGTTTAATATTTTGGAATACACGTTCTGTTAGGTTTGGCATTTATTTTATTTTAGTTTATTTTATTTATTATCCCTCTTTTGTTCTGGGGGCCTTCAACAGGCTTGCGCTCTATTTCAGAGTGACTCGCATAATGCATGTTCGCTTTAAAACTTTTTAGAGGAGTTTCTTTTCTTTCAAGATATGCCTGTTGTACTAAAGTCCATAATGTCTATTCTGGTTCAAGAAAAGTAACAATCAGCAGCCTTTTGTGTAGGTACCTACCCAAGAAAGCTTACCTCTCCTTTTCAAAGAATATTTTGGCAATTTCCACACTATAGGTTGGCTACAGTAGTTTGTTTGTCATATATCAACATAATAATTATACAGCGTGGTGACTAGCGTAACGCATCATAGGGATTTCAATGTAAAATTCATAACATGCGATTATTGGCTCCCCAAATTATTTTAGAGCAAAAATGTATTAAGGTTTTTTGTAGAAAAAAATTGTTTACGTCAATAAACCGTATCACGTTTTCAATTTTTTACATAATAAAGACGGAAAATTGAAAAAATAACACACGCATCTTTTTCAATAATCTGCGATGCCATGGAATTTTCTAAAACAAAAAGACATCCAGTTATCAATTAGCAGCAGTTCGAAATGCATGATCGACTTGGTTACTGTCTTGCAGTTAATAGTGACTTCTTTGAACATTTATTGTAAATTGTTATATTAGGAAACTGTTTTTAGTAATTTGGTCTTTCTTTATGTTTAATTCGCTGTTCTAAATATAATACTTTTTGATAGATGTTTTATAGCAGACATTCCATGGCATGACGGATATTGGCGTAGTTTTTGTATTATAAAATTTCATTTCATCACAGATTATTGAAAAAGATGCGGGTTTTATTTTTCCAATTTTCCGTCTTTATTATGTAAAAAATTGAAAACGAATACGGTTGATTGACGTCAAAAATTTGTTTCTACAAAAAAGACAATACAAAGACAAACAAAAAACTGAACAGAGTTAAGACGTTAAACTTCTTGAGAAAAACTACACAAGAAAGCTGGCTGGAGCAGCTTTATACAACTGAAAGAAGGAATACACGCATACAAATTCGAAACGAAAAGGTAATCCACTATTCGACCCAAATAGAACGATCGAGCAATAAACCCAAAACATTATGGTTACTGGTGAACTCCGTACTGAACCGAAGTGCGAAAGGGTCTAAATCAGTAACTTACGAAGGCAGATCTATTACACGAAATGATGAATTATGTCATGTATTTGCAGAATTCTTCGAACGTGTAATTCCACGTAAACTGGAAGAACATTTTGGACAACGTGCATCTCAAGCATGCTCCACGTCCGCCAATGTTCCAGAGAGCATGTACCTGAAACCTGTTACATCCTCAGATATATGCTGCATCATAGATGTCCTACAAACAAAAAAGGCAACAGGTTATGATGAAGTACCGGCAAAATTCATCAAACAATATAAAAACACGCTCGCCCATCATCTTGCGGAATCCTTCAATGACTCGTTACAAAGGGGTGCTTTCCCTGACGCGCTCAAGTTAGCTGTGATCATACCGGTTTCAAAAAAAGGGAACCTCACGAACATTGAAAACTTCAGACCGATTGCTCTGTTGACCATAATCTCAAAAATATTTGAGAAGCTTTTGGCGCAGCAACTGTCGGATTTTCTTAACAAACATCACCTCATTACAGAATGTCAACACGGTTTCCGGAAAAATCGTTCGACGGAGACGGCAGCCACGGCTATGATACAAAACATTATGGACCACCTTAACAACGGCAAGACGGTATATGGAATATTTTTCGACATGTCGCGCGCATTTGATACCATAGACATCTCATTCTTGGGAGATAAGATTGAGAAAATGGGAATACGCGGACACGCCATGGCATATATCCTATCCTACTTGAAAAACAGGAACTACATGGTCAAATGCGGCGAGGAACTGTCCAAGCCATTCACAATAAACATAGGCACACCTCAAGGCGGTGTTCTGGGACCTCTGGTGTACCTCCTATACGTAAACGATCTTCCGCAACATATACATGAGGGCGAATTGTATATGTATGCCGACGATACTGCAATTATAGTGTCCCACTCGTCGCCAAAATGTGCACACGTTCAAGTACACCAAGTCATAGAACAATTTAGCCAATGGTGCTCACAAAACAAGCTTATAGTGAACCAGAGCAAAACTGCCATTATAAACTTCCGTCCTCCATCTGCTATCCATGACACATTACCAACAATCAGTACTGTCAAATATCTCGGTATATCCGTGGACAATGATCTAAAGTGGTCTTCACATATAAATGAGCTCGCCAAAAAATTAAACAAGTGTTTCTTTGGTATTATGACGTTAAAGAACTTTTTAACTCAAAAATCATTGTTGAGTGTTTATCACGCTACTGTACATTCACTGCTGTCTTATAATGTTATAGTTTGGGGCCAGTCCTCGGAATTTAATCGTGTTTTTATTGTACAAAAACGTATTCTCAGACTTATATTCAACTTGGGTGGTACCCAATCATGCAGAGATACGTTCAAGAAGTATGGCATCCTAATAGCAACGTCATGTTACCTACATAAAATAGTCAACTACATTTATGTAAATAAACAAACCTTCGCAACACAGGGATTTATCCATGGACATAACACAAGAGGAAAGGAGAGGCTCTACCCGTCCAAACCCAACAGCACGCTGTACAAACGATCTCCTGTATATGCCGGTATTCACTTTTACAACTTGCTTCCAGAACACGTCAAATCATGCTCAACGGCCCAACAGTTCAGCAGAAAAACAAAAAAATTTTTAACAACAAGATGTTACTACACCATCAACGAATACGTTGATGATTGTAAAAGTCTGTGATATTTTAACTTTTTTATGTTGTTACGTGAATGTCTAATGTAAGAACCTGTGATACTCATCTACATAATTTTAACTTATCTATATGTTGTGTCACGTGAGTTTAACGTTTTTTATGTATGACGCGTCCTATGTACTGTTGTATGCCAAAGGAAAAGAATTAAATTGAATTGAATTGAATTGAATTGAATTGTTGCTCTAAAATAATTTGGGGAGCCAATAATGGCATATTATTATGTTATAAATTTTACATTGAAATCCCTATAATGCTTGACGCAAGTCACCACTCTGTATACAAAATTAGTTGCTTCAGTCCACCACGAAAATGACTACCAGCTGCCCACCGCACAACTGAATTTTTTTAACTTTGAATGTCATAGTTGGTAATCATAGACTGTAGCATTCCGGCCTGAGCTCTAATGACCTTTTAACGCATTTTGCAAAAGGAAAATGAACGCTATTGTCCGCACTTTGTCCGTCTGTCTGTCCGTCTGTACCACTACTAGTCCTCCAGTTTAACCTTTTTCGTTGTGGTTTCTTTCTTATACGCCATACGGTATCGTATAGCACAGCACCGAAACCAGAACGACAATAGATTTTTTGGATTAGTCACTTCCTTCCCGAGTTATTACTGATTCTGTGCGGTGAAAATGTGGTTTCGTCGGTCGCGAGTGACCACATCTATACTAGTTTCTATTTCTATGAATAAAAAAAAACACTTGTGCGGAATGTGAATCCACTCTCCAAAGCAGCAGTTGAAGCTTACAAGTACCCAAATTTCACACGGGAATGATTGTTTTGCATACACTAGGCGAATATTCCGAAAGATAACAATAGATTTTACAATAGTTTGGTTAAATTTCTTTATTATAATTTAACATCATAAAATGCAAGCTCCTTTTTTATATTACCATCATTCAACCTTCTATACAGGTACATAAACAAATTACAGTACGGTAGGTGTAATATTTAAACGCTTATTCTTCGTAAAGAAAAATTAATTTATCTTACCTTTTTCCTATGGATTTCCGGCTTTCTACTTTTTCCTTGTATACCCGAGAGCAAGATAAATGTTTCTCATGAGAAATTGTGACGTTAAACGCTGCGATGCAGTTTAGGTACCGTAGTAAAAACGCAATATCGATAAAATATGATGCTACTAACTCATACGGTTGGCTAATTTGTAACCTACAAATGATTAAAGCGTGATTGTTGCTCTTATGTTACAGGATCTCCGAGTGTTAGAATGTCAGGGGTGCTCGTTACACAAAATTAATACGCAAGTGTACGGGTATCTGCCGCACTTGACCCACCTCGAGTTGGGTTACAACGAATTGGAGACGCTATCGACGCAGGATTTCGCCAATTTGACCAATTTGAAATACATAGGTCTCGACGGCAATAAGATATCGGCCTTGTCGGACGACGTATTTATTCACGCGAGAGGATTGAAAAAAATTAATTTATCGAAAAGTCGCATATCTCGCGTTAGTCCTAAGACATTTAGTAATCTAAACAATTTAACCGAACTGGATTTAAGTTATAATAAATTGGAGAACGTGGAGAATACTGTACTGGAGCCTATCGCCGGGAACTTGCAGAAGTTGTTATTAAGCGGTAACCACATATCAATGCCGAACTTAAAATCGTTAATGAAAAGTGTTCCGCTGCTGAGAAATTTGCAGCTGGCCGAAGCGGGTATATACGATATACCCCCGGATGTCTTCCCAGAAAAACTCAGTGTTTTAAATTTATCCGGAAATTTCCTAACGGTATTATTTCCTGATGCCATACCCGCGACTCTACTTGAACTGGATTTGTCAAAGAACCGTTTCGGTGGCCTATCGGAAGCATTCCTACAACGGGTCGAGTACATAATACGACTAAATTTGGACAAAAATCCGTGGGCATGCGATCTGTGCCACATCGTTCCAATGCTTGAGAGAGCGAATGTAAGCAGCATATTACGGGAAGTTAAATGTAAATACCCTTACCGACTTGAGGGAATGCTTTTAGGCGAGCTGCGTTCGAGTGATTTAAATTGGTGCAGTACCCCAGAGTTTTCCGGAGACGCCAATTACTTCCTAACTGGAAACGAAGACGGAAAAGTAGGAATAACGGCGGCCACCGCCGCTATTTTATTATTACTTCTAGCCGGAATTGTTGCGCTAATAGTGTTCTGTCACGGGAAAATGCACGCTGCCATTTATTACACAAATGAAGAGAAGCGCACGGCGGAAACGGAGGCGATTTTCGATAACCAAAGCGCATTGTTCAGCGACGAGAAGGAATTGAGTTTTAAATTTCCTGTAGACTATCCTCAAAAGAAAATCGCAATTGCCACGATCGATGAGGAATTAAAAAAGGAGCCAATCATGAACGAAGCGTAATTTTTAAGTGCGTGACGCTCCTCGGGCTAGAAAACTTATACTGTGTTGTAATTGAATCGATTTGAAATTTTGTGCTTTATGTGAGTCATGTGGTGATAGCAAATTGGTAACGAAAATACGCGAGGAGCACTCGAATAACATTTTCAATCCAATAAGTCGAGAGCACAAGCATCCCCTTATTTTATATTTCCTCCAATATAATGGGACCATTAAGTTATTTTTGTTTTTGTTTCCCTGAATAAAAACAGAGTACCTACCACTTACAGTTTCTTCTTCGCGCGAGAGAAGTTCTAAATTATGCCCTGCCTATACAAAATCACACCCTTGGGGTGTAACACGATTTAAATTATTTTTCTAACAAAGGAAGTTATTTATTTTGTATTAATACTTGTAGATATACTCAAATGTGTTGGTTTATTTTTTGTAAAATACTTGTACTTTTAAGACTGAAACGAACATATTGCGTAATCAAATTTTATTTAAAGTACAGTGCTATGGAAGGTGAAAAGGAATCAAAGGAATTATAGATGCCTACCTCGAAATATTTTTTTATATACAAACTTTATTTTAAATACTTCCATTCTACATATATATTTATAGTCGATGGGTGTTTCACAAATTTATATTAGCGATATTTAGAGGTACTTAAAGTATGTGAAATGTTGCAAATGCTTCTATTTTAAGTCATTGTGATTCGTAACATTGTAAGATAAAGTCGATAGTTTTCTATAAATGATATATTTATAATTTTTTAGTTAAATGCATAGAATATCGTACGTCTTTTTTGCATTTTAAATGTAGCAATTAAGGATAGTTCCGGCCTCTTATTGTTAATAAATTTACCTGTTTCTTACTGTTGTATTTATTTTCCTGCTACTTGAAGCTTACATTTAGTACTGGTACCATAACTTCGGTCTACAAGAAGAATAAGGGCAAGTCTTACCCATGGAAAAACTATAAGGACCTATAACATACGCCGAGTTCTTTCAAGAGTTCCAGCCAATAAAATTGTACGTACACCATTTATTATATACCTACCACTTAGTTATCAAATTAACATTTATTGGCCGGCTGCTAACCGGAAATAAAATAACGCCAGACTTTCTATAGGTACTATACCTACTTACAATTCATTATTAAGTTGATTTTAAATATATCAATATGCAGGTTTAATGACTAAACCGATTCTTGATCGATAGCTAATTTAAAAATAGTAGATGTTCTCTTTTAATTTTAATTAAATAGTAGTAATTAATTTAAACGACTAAATATTTCGGATAACAATTACATTTAAGGATAAATTAAGCCTGCATTTGGTTCGATTACCTCATTTTTATCGCACAATTTGAGATAATTTATTTGTGTATTTTCTCTTGCATTTTGTTGATGTAGTTGATTTATTTCATGGTGTGGGTTATGCCGGGGTTTTTGTCCCGTGAAAGGTTTCCCTTGTGGTTTGTGTAATATATTTATTTGTTATTGTCTTTTTTACTCACAAAACTGCATTTTATTCAATTTCCCTCCCGACTATGACTCACATAAAAGACCCAATTACACAACGTAGGAGTTCATTCGCGCCATCCATCAATGAATAAAGAATACCAGGAAGGAGAATATCAACAATATACGTGCGACCGCGATGGCTTTTGCAAATGGCGGACAGTAGTTTCCTGTTCCAGTGGCGTACCTACCTTACAGTTGTAGAAGGATACAATTATAAACAATTTTACACGAAAACAATCTAAACCCTCATGTGTCTACTCCGCCTATGACTTTGTTTAACTAACCTCAAACTACATTCCGATAAAAAATTTGTAAATTTACATGTACTATAGAAAAATAATATTGGTATCAATACTTACACATGAAATGTAATTCCCAAATTTTTATTTTTTTCCGTTTTGGAGCAACCACAAGCACAACAACTAACCATTATTTTATGTCGCTGCATAAAACCACAACAAAAATGAGTCATAAGTGGCTTTTGCAAATGGCCGACTTCCATCGCACTCTCTCTTGTATACAACCTGAGTAATGCTCCTTCCTGGTATTCTTTATTCATTGCCATCCACATCGAACCGACTGCTATAGAGATTTAAAAGTGTCGTGTCTGTTGTTTCGACTTCAAAGTTAGGTGGCTCTGCTTGTAGTTCCCTAGAGTTGCCAACTGTAGGTATAAGGTAAGTCAACATGTTCAGTGTCGGCTTGGGAGACCTCTAAGAACACTATAAGGTGCATGTGTACAATCCTGATACATGTACAGAAGAAACAATTTGATATAATATGATCGGCTCTTCAGCATATGGATGCAAAAATAATTACTGAAATGATGCCATTCTTTCAATAACATGAAACGAAACGACATGTTCTATTGAAAATCTCTTAACACTGTCTTATGGAGCTCAAAAAAGATTTCGGAAGTACCTAAGTAATCGGAATTTTCTGGTTTTCTTTAAAGCAAAATAACTCTTTAATTACGCATCTTTTCTCTAATTTGACCATCTTCGTATATTTTATGGTTTTGGAGATTTCCACGATAGATCTTGACACAGTGTATAAGATATTCTAAAGAAGGTAATATCATTGAATAAGTAACTATGATTACTTATTCAATGGTAAAATATATAATTACTGATGAATCAATCAGTCATCAATCAATTTATTATGAATACAATAAGTGTAATAATAAGTGATTTATTTCATCGATGCATCGATGTTGGAACTGGTATTAAACACGCTTCAATTTACCTATAGTAAATGGAACATTCTCGAAGACTCTAGAGGGTTTATCATATTTGAAGGAAACAATGCGTCTCATCCGCTCAATTCCTTATTTGCCGGTGACTAATCTTTTATCGACTTGATGCAATCTGCTGCCGCCCAGATGTATGGGGTAGGTAGGGTAGGGTGGGGCAGGTTCGAACACGGGGCACCTCCGGACAATTCAAATTTACCACCTTAAAGTGCTATGACACTTGGTTCATATTGACAGTGCAATATGCTTAAACACTAGTAGTTCTGTGGTACGTAAATGTTTGGCGACATCGATCACTCAGGAATTATTTATTTGAGAAAATTCAGAAATAGAGTTGTTCTTATAAATTTCAATAGAGCTATCGTAACCTTAGTCGGCTTGAGAACACCAGTGAGGTAAGTTTTATCCCATTTACCGTAGATAATAATATGTTTTATTTTTCATTTGCCTATTATATGTCAATTATATCTGTCACATGAGATATATAAAGCAGTCTATGACGACCGAGGGCATAATGAGATGACAATCCATTATGCCCTCTCATTATGCCCTCAAACTGCCTGTCAAATATATTGACGGAGTTATGTAATAAAAAAAGATGCTACTTGATTCGTATGAAGCACTAACAATAATCATTACATTTGTATATTGGAAATGCATTATTTGGAACGATGAAAAATAAAATGTTGTATGCACCTCAGGCATTACTCGATATTTAACCCTCGGGCGACTTACAATCCCTCGGGCCAGAGGCCCTCGGGCTCTGTCGCCCTCGGCATAAATATCGCCTTAATGCCCTTGATACATAAATAACTATAGCGATACATAATCTCATAAAACGGCATATATAAACCTTGTGCGAATTTTTATTTTATCATCTATGGATTTTTGTAACATGGGGCACTTCCGGACAAATCTAGTGGGGTAGCTTCGGACCAACAAAAGGACACTTCATTACATCGGCAGAGTGGAAGCTTGCAATAATGATGACTCTTACACATTGAATTTTTTGAGAAAGTATAAAAACGGATTCCGCTTTCCGGACTTGCAAGATATTTCGACTGTTTCCAGAGAAGATATAGTTTCGAAAATACCTAATCCCGAGGCAGCACCAGGCACTTCCAGGATGTGTTCGCTCTTCAAATTCCATGTCAATTTTGATATATAACCTTTAATTTCTCTTACAAATTAATAAGTTCTGAATTTTATTAGACTTGTCCGAATGTACCCCACTACACAAATGCAACTTTTTGGAAAAACTGTAACTGAACGAAAACCACTGCAGTTTTTCGCTTGAGATAATGCCAAAATGTTAGAAATAGACTAAGGTGTCCATGGCAGCTAAATAAGTTTCAAAATGTTATCTTATCTCTGAAATATTAATGTTTGAAAAAACTTGTCCGAACCTGCCCCACCCTACCCTACTCGCTACAATACTAATGCGTATCTGATTCGCAAACGCTCTAACAATAACTTGTTGCATTTGTAGAGTTTTTTCTGTGTTTACACTGCCGCATTTATAATACAGTCAATGCTTATTTATAAACAACCCCTTATACGGGAAAGTGATAATTGATCTGTATTTTCCTTGTGTGAGTGCTCTCTTCCGATATTATGTTCTAGAGATATGCGCATTTGGAACCCATCGACTGACGCGTATTGTCAAAAACTTCTTGGATACAGAGGATTCGGAGGGGTAAGGGGATGATACAAACCATTTTTTCTTCGAGAGATTTCGTGAATTGAAGCGAAGCATTCTCATCCATGAAGACAGCGCATAAGTAGTTATTAAAAATATTCGTAGTTTAGTAGGGTAGTTTGAAATTTGACTTCTCTTAGTCTTTCGGCAGAGGAAGGAGTTTTTACGATCCTTCTTCAGTCATGGTTTATTTCAAGAATTATCGATATTAGATACAAATGTATTGGAGTAAGAATAGTAAAGGTAATACACAAGTTCTTCGAGTCTAAAAAGAATACGTGTAGGTACTAAAGACATATACGCTAAAAAGGTAAACTTTCTAAGGGGCGAAGTATAAATAAAAAAGTAATGCTCTGCACTCTGTGCTCGTGCTGGTATATTAAGGGTGAGTTTTTTTTCATTTTCACTATAGGGATCTCGTAAACCGCAAGACATAGTACCTAAGTCTTATTTTATGCTTATGCTGTATTTTCCCATTCTAACTTTCTTGTAGCTCTATAAATAGCGAAGTTATGGCTAAAAAACCGTTATTTTCGAGAATGCGCTTATTTTCATAGGTATTAAAATAGTATATTATGAAGCAAGTGTGTAATAACGCCTTTAAAGAACGCGCAACGAGTTGAGTTTTAAGCACGACCGTGTTTAATGACTTCGGTTGAACAAGATAATACACCGTTCATTCAGGGGCTTGTTGCATAAGCAGAAGAAAAGATGGTACCTACAAAATCCAAAAGCAAAAGCCTATTATAAAGAATATGGAAAGTTGTTGGCGGGGATGAATAGGAAGCATCACAGTCTTAAACGCAGCAATAATACTGGCACAAATAAAGCAAATGCCAAAGGTATTTAAATCTTCTATTCAATTGTGAATTCATTCACAACTTCAAGCAATGCTGCGATTAAAAAGTGGAACAGATTTGGCAGCATAACAAACAATTAGAGATTTTCTCTCAGCTCTCTGATGGTGCTAAATTAAAATTTACTAAGTGTGTAGTATCACTGGTTTCGTGATTTTTTTTCGAGTGGCATTTCCAATAGGGTGTACATAGGAAACATGAAAGTTGATGTATACTAGAAACTCGCGAGTCATAGAAACTTTATTTTAGCACCATCCTGAACCAAACTGAGAGTTTGTGAAGATTCTTTTTTGATATTTTCGAGAGTAACCTCAGCGCATACCCGAAAATGATATTTTTCGGATTGTTGGACTTCGCTATTTGTAGAGTCTTTGCTCATTTAAGCCACTTTGTATCTCTTACGGTTAACGCGATCCTCAAACTCACCCCATACGTAAGGACCTTACAATGCAGCCCGATGAAGCGACACCTGTCGCACAAATGCGCACAAAAAATTAATGGCCATTGAAACACAGTAGAGGGCGGTACGGGTATTGTCATAC